CCTACTCCTACTACTCCTCCTACTACTACTACTACTACTATTACTACTACTACTGCTACTGCTACTGCTACTGCCACCACTACTACCACTACTACTACTACTACTACTACTACTACTACTAACACTCCTGCTGCTGCTGGTGCTACTAGTACTAGACACTTCGAGTTTTTAAGTGCTGGGACTGCCGCTGTTAGATGGAGTGCTCCCAGAAGCCGAGAAGTGTCATTCGGTGCAGAGACGTCGTGTTTCACATTCATATCAATCAGCTGAAAGCTTTTCACTGGAAAGAACAGCCTGGGGCAGCTTCGGGGTTCTTCGACTCCGAAATGGAGGCCACATTTGGGGTGTTCCAACTGTTCCGGTTGTTTTGGGTGAACATAGCTGATTCGGGGTGACTTTCGGTACATTCCCATGCCTATGTAAAATTTGTCTTTCTGACCAAAGAACTGCAGGGTCCTTTGTGCGGAGGTGTAGTAGGCCCCCACGAAGGTTCCACGAAGGTTTTCCCAGAGCCACGAAGCTTCCACGAAGCCCCACGAATCTGCTCCGAGATCCCACGAAGCCGCACGAAGGTTCCACGAAGCCCCCGCGAAGCCCTACGATTGTGAGCCTCATATAGGAATCCTGGTTGGAATGCCCCCTTTTGGGCCTTCAGCTCCTTCCACACAGTGGTCAAACAGCTAGCGGCGGTGGAGGCCTCCGGTTCGTGCGCCGCAAAGCCATTCTCTCATGGGTTCATCGGTTGCAGCCGGGGGCTCGATTGGGCGGAGCATGATGCCACTTTTTGCAGCCTGGGGTTTGTGTCCTGAGCCTGAGCCTGAGCTTTTGTGTTAGTTTGCTGCGGCCAGGTTCTTGCCCGAAGCGTTCAACGTCCTCAAAGTCTCCAGGTCCAGGCGGTCATGTGCATGTGTGAAACACAGACAGCATGCGACATGTTGAGGACTGGCTCCTGGCTTTACCCAAAGTTGTGCGTTGAGTGCATTGACGCCTTGGCCTCGGCTTGTGAGTATTCAGTATTGGCTTCTTGAAAGGTGACAATGATGGGTTGCAGAGCTGAGCCGCCGCTTGTGCCGGTGTGCCCGATTGTGTTGGCTTGTGTATACAGTATACATTGTTGCAACTGGCTGCTTGTTCTGAGGCGTGTATCTTACAGCATGGTACAGCATGGCATGTTGTCGAGCAATGTCAATGTTGACTGTGTCCATTGTCCATGCATTGTCGCGGAGGTCATTGCTTTGTCGTGGCTTGTGATGACAGGTGACACGGCTTGGCGTAAGTGGGATTTTTTGTCGTGGTGGCACGGCAGGTGGAAGTACTGACACTTGGTAGTTGATGCACGAAACCTTGCCCTTGCCCGGCGTCCTTGGCGACTTCCATGCTGTTGTTGAGATCGTCCTGACCAGTGGTTACAAGCTTGGTTTGCGTGTTGCATTATGCAATGTTTGCTTGACTCGGCTCGGTGCTTTCCTTAAGGAGTCGAGGATGGATGTGGTCGACGTTGTGCAGTGATGCTGCTGTGGCTCGATCAGTTGCTGGGTGCATCGCTGATTGGATGTTTTGCTTGCTTGCAGCAGGATGCAACTGTTAGCGCAGACGTGATATGTCACCGAAGTTCTGTTTCGTGCTCAGGCCTAGGCAGCTTCCGTGGAACTCCACCTCCGGCTTGGTACTGCCTGGTAGTTGCCAGCTTCAAGGATGGGGGATGTATCGATGAGCATGCACGACTTCTCGGACAGTGTGGTCCCTCCTCCGCCTCCGTTGTCTGGTACGCCTTTTGGTGGAACTCCGCCCAATAGAAGGAGGGGCAACGGGAGGACGAAATTCGCTGCGACTCCGGCTTTCCAGGCCGTCAGGGATGCAATTTCCAACATGGGGCCGTCGACCTCTTGCTTGATGTGTGATTGCAAGACATATCCGAAATCGTAGTTTTGCAAGGAACACAAGCGAGAGTCGAGAGGCGGAGGCCTGTCGCAAAGACGCGGAGGAGAGCAACGAACTCGAGTACTTCAATTCACAAGCAGCAAACGTGGATGCTTTCCGGAAAATGACCCTGGAGTATATGGAGAAGGGCCCGAGCAGGGGCCCAGGTGCCAAACGCAACCGTTTCGATTGGACTTCCTACAGGGAAAATCATTTTCCGGGAAGGCCGTCCGCAAAGGACAAAAAGCAGTGCCTCTGCATTACGAGACCTGGTCGGCTTAGTCAACTTTTCGGGTTGTGTTGCAGATCATCTTTGCACATTACATCAAATTTCATTCGCGGGGAAGTTTTATTATTGCTTATTCTGTTAGCCTGAACTCTGAGCCGGGTGCCGGTACTCTGGGTCCGGAACCAAGGAGAAGTTCATGAAGTTCCAGAAGGAGGACCAAGGCCTCTCGTGGCAGGATGCCGACAAGCTTTGGGAAAAGTACAAGGCAGATCCCGACCACGAGCGGGACGAGCTCGGACCTCCTCAGTCCAAGTTGCGTCTTTTCACTGCGGTTGAAGACTACCTGATCCGGGAGACGGTGAGTCGCTTCCAGCGTGAGACAGTGTCAGGAGTCCGTGATGTGAATAAATCCGAGTGAGAAGCAGGCCAAAGAGTTGGATGATCGTTTGGCCGAACCGTTGCCAGGATTTGAAGAGCTGCAGCTTGAGAATCACAGCGGCAAGACCAACTCGCAGTTCCAAGTGCAGAACCCGGCGAGCGACTACGAGCACTTCATCAACTTGGTCGATGTCTAGCGAGCGGACCTTGTTGCCCGTCGACACGAAGTTCCTTCACCTGCCGAAGCACATCGCCAACCATTGCCAGCAGATCCTGGCTACGGGCACGGAGGACAAGATCAACGAGTTGAAGGACTACGGCGTCAGCTCATCCCAATTGTTAGCTTCTTGGCTCAGCTTGGAACCATAGCCATAGCCCAACGTCTTCAACCTTCTACAATCCATGTAGCACAAATTACAACCAGAACCTGAAACCTTACACTGGCTCAAACAAACCCTGTTTAGTCGACAACATCGTCTTCCTCCAGTGCACAGATTGGGAGTGTCAGAGGATTCGCCAAGGCCCCATGTTCTGTAATTGAGTGAGCTCAGCAGGGATCACTGATTATGAAACTCTTTCACAAAGCATCTTCTTCGAGCTTGCAATCTTCATCCGAAGTCAAGAGTCTAAGGTAAGAAGATAGTTTCATCGTAGGTGATGGTACTTGTCATTTGAAGGTCACTCTTATGAAGTGTTGTGCTAGCAGTTGTGTGTGGACATTGCATGTCTTGATTTTTCGTTTTTTGTGGATGGCTGAGCAGAGCAGAACAATGTGGTTTGTGAATCGTCACAGTAATCCGTATCAGTATCGTCTGATCACCCGAGGCCTAGCTGGCAACAGGAGCAGAGCGTGGCGTGTCGGATTTGCAGGCGGCCAAGGTATCCAGAGAGAAGGAAGAGAACAAGGCCAAGTCATCGGAGCAGAAGGCAGAGGAGGCCCGTGCGAAGCGGGCAAAAGTGCCGAACCGTCTCGACAAACTGCCTACTGCTTCTCTCAAGGACGTGATGGGTGTCGGGGATGGTGCGTTCGAGCTTTTGGACGGGGCGAAGCCCTTCGTGGTCCGTGCTGCGGTGAAGTTGTCGACGAAGCTGCAAGCCCTCTTGAAGGAGAAGGTGTTCGAAGCGGCTCACAAGGCCTTCATGCAAACGTACCATACGACCACAGCCGCCAAAAGTACTGGTCGAGCTCAGTGCGGATTGAAACCGGTCGAGCTCATGGACCAAGCCAGAGAAGCCCTCCGGGAGTTTGTGCCGTTCAGAAGTAAGGTCGTCGCAACCGAGCACATCCCTACCCTGGACATGGTGTCGATGTTCGGGTGCCTGGCGGAGATGTACTTTGTGTCTTCGGAGTACGAGGGAACAGGCCAGCTCCGCTACATCCTGGAAGGTACGAAAGACACATATGCGTGCAGCCTCAAAAACATCCAGGCCGCCATGCAGAAACTAGGGCTCGACAAAGACGGCAAAAAGTCATCGGATGTGGACGTCTACAAGTTTTTCAGACACCTCACTGAGGAACAGGCCGGGGCTTTTGCGCGGCTACAATTCCTGGTTTGGGGGTCTTTCGTATACTTCAAGCTGTCAAGCTGAGGCTAAGGCAACAGTTGAGGGTGCAATTGTGGGGGGTGCAAAGCTCAATTAGCGAGGGAACTTAAGAGCCTTTCTGGGGGAGCTTGTACGGGTGGCTGGGTGGACGGTGGTGTTCTGCGATGCTCTGTGTCTCTGTCTGTGTGTGTGTGTGTGTGCTGGAGTCGTGGGGTGGGGGCCGCTGTGTAGAACAGATCTAGACTGTGCGGATCCTCCAACAATGCACCCCTGACTTTCAGGTATCGAAGAGCGGCCTTACCGTGTACAAGCTTGCGGTGCGCCACGGAGATGCATACTACTTGCCTTCCGGGTGGGTGATGGCAGACATCTGTGGTGATGAGGAGTGCATTGGCCTTCGTCTGGCGATCGTTGCAGACAAGGACATTGTCAAGGAGAAAAACATGGAAGCGATGATCGAAATTCAGGATCAGGGAAGTACCAAGCACCTGCCGAACATGAAGAAGATCGTCGAAGTCCTGAAGAAGCAAAGCCACGGAGCCGGAGCCTTCATTCAGGTATCATCTTCAGGAAGATTTTGCCCACGCATTATCCTGTTCTGTTGTGTTCGACGCTTCCTGCCAGCACAGTGTCATGACCCTTTGTCAAGCTTGTCGGGTCCTCTTTTCCATGGGAAGCGTTCGCTGCTGTTGGCAGTGACTGCCGGATGTCTCTGAGCAGACCTTTGCGACATTTCTGAAGCCACTTCTTTCAAAACTTTCACATTTCTAAAACAACAGACTGTCACCATTGCAAGCAAGAAAGAGGTTGCAGAGCACGAGCTTGATTCCGTGTGCGAGCTCCTTGTCATGTGGGATCACCCAGTGGGATCATGCAGGCCAACCAGGTATTCTCATGGACGCTTGACGTTGCAGACAGCCAGGACATTGCGTGGTGTTGTCTAAGTGTCGCTGTGCGTGGAGGTCCATTCCCCATCGAGTTCATCGGACTTGGCGGTTGCTCATTTGCTTGATCGGCTTGGCCCATGGTGACTTCGTTGACCGTTGATCATGCCCTTGACCATTGTTGGTGCTTGGCACTGCACGTGTGCTGCTGCCCTGTTGTGCGATGTTGCGATGAGATGAGATTGACTCTTGTGTTGGCTGCGTGGCTTGGCTGCATCGATTTCATGCGTTGCTCATCGCTGTCCTTGTACATTGCACTGGGCTTGCTCCGACGGTTATGCACATGTGTGGTGCATCTTGCGGCCAGGGCCTCAGACCTACATTGCCCCTTGATTTGAGCAATCCACTTGAATCTGCCTCTGCGCTTGGCCTCAGTTTTTGGTTCGGGTAGCTCGGCCGTTGTGTCCGTGGCGACCAGGAGATGCCAGTCAAGCGAATGCTGGCGAGCCATGACTGCAGCCTCTCAGAGGGTCCTCGCACAGTACAGGAGATGTTGAACTGGCCAACGAGGGCAATGGCTGCTGTGCGTGACATTGGTCAATTCGACACCTGGTTGAGCAATCTCACTGGTGGGTTGATCGTGGGGACTCATTTCTCGGGTCTCATGACTGCAGAAGTGGCTTTGGAGCAACTGGCGCATGCAACCGCAGACATTCTTGAAAGAAACGGCCAAACTTCGGAGTCGGAGCAGCTGCAGGGGAGACTTCTGAGTGCCTGGACATGTGACCAACTTCAGGAGAGTCGCGACTTGGCAATGGCATGGCCGGAGTCGAGATACTGGCACAATGCTGGTGGGTGCTGCTTCGGCAACATCTTCGACAGCTCCACAGATGAGATGTTGGAGAAGTTCAACTATGTTGATCAAGCCAGGGACGAAGGCCGGGGCCAAAATGCTGTGCAGAACACGCAGACGTACATGTTTCGCCATGTTCGCGAGATCTTCGAAGAATCAGCGTGCTTTCGGCATGGAACATTCTGCAAGTCGCTTGGCTTTAGGGAGCATTAATTTGGGGCAGTGTGTTTAGGCAGGAGACGGTGTAAGATATGCTGCGTGTGCTGTGAATGACATTCCTGCTGCTCTTGTTGTGTTGCCCAAGGTCGCATGAGTACCCCTCGCCGAAAGGCTTCCACAACCCTTTGACCATTGAGGTGGCAGGAACTCCATGTGTTGGTTGGTCCATCTTGGGAAAGCGTCAGGGTGTCCTTCATGACAGTCACCTCGCCTTCTTGACGTGGGCGGCAAAGACGAGACTTGCGCCGCCTATGCTCATCGTCCACGAGTGCACAGCTGCCTTCCCAGTGAGCTTGCTTGAGTATTGGTTCGATGACAAGTATGAGATGTACTCCATGGTGTTGGACCCCCTGTGGATGGGTCACTCAACCCAGAGACCCAACCGTCGCTTCACATGGCTCATTCGCAAGGATTTCCGGTTCACAGGCAGTGTGGAGGATTTCAAGGAGATTTTCGCAGCGCGGACAACGATGTTGGCAGATGCATTTTGCTGTGCACCCAGCGATGTTCTTCAAGAAGGCCTGAACGCAAGTGCCCTGTCCCGTGGGTTCGTGCCTCAGGAAGTATCGAAGGTCAAAGATTGGTCGATCTACTACCCTCCCGGCAATCGTGAGCGAATGGATGGCCACCTGAGTCTGAGGAAGCGATCACCCGACATGTTGGAAACACCGCGAATCCGAGCTCGAAGGAAAGTTTCAGCTGAGACATTGAACATGAAGCACATCAAAGAGTACCCCATCATCGTGGACTTGGATCAGAATCCGGGCTATGGGCCCTCAGCATCCTTGCAATGCCCAGCATTGGTGAGCCATGGCACCCTGCACAATTTCTTCCGAAAGCGCTGCATGGTTGGAGAAGAGGTGGCCGTGATCGGGATGCGACCTTCGCGTAGAAGCTCAGCCAGTGTATCAGTGTAGTGTAGCCACGTTTCATGTTCTTGTCAACAAGTTTGAACGTGGCTGCAGTTTTGGATTGGAGGCGGTTGCAAACATGCAAAAAAGGCGTTTTAGTTGGCTTCTGCGGCATTGGTCTAGCCAGTCAGGTGTTGCACGAAATCAAATCGTTTGGAGCACTTACCTTGGCGGCAGCTTGTCGGGCACCGGGCATTGCATCCAGTTGTGACATTGACAGTGCGTGCCATTGCCTTTGTTGCAGTCTCGCTGTATGTGCAGGCTGTGGCAGCATCCTTGCTACTGGCATTATTGGCAACTTGTGGACTTTTGTGGTTGCTACATTGCTTGCTTGATTTGGCCGACACAGGGTGGTCTCCACTATGTGCCAGTATGTTGCTGGACACTGCACGTTTGATTTGGTGGACACTGGATTATTTTCATTATGTTGCTGGACACTGGACATTGGTCGCTGTTCGCTATGGCACGTTGTTGACCTTGTCGGAACATGATGACACACCGTGACCATAAAGAGCCACAAGAGTATGGCAGTATGCCGTGATGGTTGTCAGCTTCATGGGAAGAGTCTGAGGATCTTGTACTTGTGGTTTGTGCGTTGAGCGTTTTTTCTTTGATCTCCTTGGTCAGCTCCTGCACTAATGAAGTAAAGGTCCTTTACTTCATGATCATGATGATGACAATGCGAGCTGGGTGGAAAAGTTGTGCCGAAGGCTGTTTGTGTCTGGGTCTTCATTAACTTCATTATCAACACTTACAGCGTTCGCGAGTCTCCGGTTCAGATTTCTGCTTATAATATCGCGAACTGAGGCCCTTATCCCCCAAAGTCCACATCAGCACACCTTTGCAAGGCTGGTTCCAACAAGCAGTATTACCGGCTTTAATTTATGGGAATATGGGAATCCGGTCATCCGTGCTCCGATTGTTGGATACATCTCCATAAGGGCCAGAAAGGCGTGCAGCGGTCAGCTTTAGCAGAGCTTCGGGCTTACCGCCTGTTGACCAATCCCAGATAGGCCCCCGGTAGGAATGGCCATACACGACAACCGCTGCCTTATGCGTACGTTCTCCCGAAGAAGTCGAAGCAGTTTCAGACAGGCCGCCCTATCGTCAGTTACTCAACACATGGTGCGGCAAACTGGCGAAGTTTCTTTTCACTGCAGTACTCCGGATCCTCCAGATAGACATCAGTCAGTCCTCCCAGCACACTTCGTATCACCGACCGTCCGCTCGATCACTCAGTCCTACATCCGCGCGTTCAGAAACAACCCAGCCACTGTGGAGCTCCAATTATTGCAGCAAGATCTATCCGGCTTCTTCACGTCCGTCCCCCACGACCGTATCTACCTGACTATATACGCACTGACGGACATGTTCTGCCAACAACAAGGCATCTGCCTGGACTCCACCATACAAGTCACAATGAAAGACCGCAACACCATCGACCGCATCTTCCGCGGACGTTACAGGAAAGCCGGCAGTCACTACAAACCCCTGGTTCTTCGACATCTTCCCAGCCTAGTGATGCTCCTACTACGTCATTCATTCTTCACAGTCGGCACTGAGGTACTTGTGCAACATCGCGGCACATCCATGGGCTCTCAATGGCACCGTCCATGTGCGGAGCGACGGCCGCGCTGTGGGAGGCTACTTTCCACCGCTAGCGCGGCCGATGCCTACTCCGGATCTACGCGGGCGATTTAACAGATGGATGTTGCCCCAAGCGTGGTTCGAGGGGCCATTTACGACATCCACTCACGGAGATGGACGATTCCCGCGTCGACAGTTGGTTCGACAGTGTTTACCTCCACCCCTCCACTTCTACGGTCATCCTCGGCCTCACCATTCGGGAGGAAGTGCACGCCCACTCCTGGTACAGTAGCCGAAGCGACACTACAGGACATGCGCATGGCACCTGGCCTTCACGAACGACCCCTTCCACCGCCAGGCAATGGACGACTCATCCACCAGCACTGGACGGAACCAGCCCACCACGGTCCGCACTACTTTTCAAGGTGATCTAGCTGCCGTCCGACGACGCAGCTGGCTAAGACACACTGGCAGGCAACATCACCTACCTCTCCCCATGCTATCCATGTCCGAAATTGCGTACAACAACGGGCACGCATCATGCTGGGTGTGATCGCCACCCTACGAGGTGGGAAGCAGATTATGACCGGTAACGCTCGCCTACGACGACGGCACAATCTTGGACCCAATGATCTCATACCACTTGCGCTTATCTATCGACGCAATCAAGAACAACGGCGCCATACGATCTCTCAAGTGACACACTATGACACACGGACGTGCTACTCGACAGTGAGCACAAGGTTCACACGAGTTTGTATTATCAGGACCACCCCGTTGCGCGAAAGAGGGACGATTACCAGCCACGGTTTCCATGACTTGGCATTCCTATGCATAAGTTCCCGCAGCCATTTCATGAACTATCCGTTTAGGCATAACACCTTTTCGACTGTCACCGTCAACATGGAATTCCGACGACACAGACCGCTACCCATTCGAGCTGACGTGCCACATCTGTCTTTACTTGTGAGTACGCCGTCTGCGGATTTTGGGCAGACTTCTTTTTGGTCTTCCGAGTATGGGCAGTGTCAGCTACTAGGCAGGTCATTTCAACACGACACGGGAGCATTTACGCCTCCTCCTCCACAACCAAGGGATCGACGTATACGAGACAGACTATTGGCATACATCCCAGACCGTTCCAACGTTTACTGCTCCTGTGGACGTATCAGGATCAGCGACAACCTTTATCACGGCCTGTTTGGGATCATCTTTGACCCAAAAGTCGCCCAACACCTCCCGGCCACCAATCGACGAGTCAACGAAGACCTCCATCGCTACCTGCAACCAACTTGCCTGGACATTGACACGGACATCTACACCCCGTATGTATTCACTTGATGGTCCACCGATGACACAGTTCATAACTCCGCCCTACCCAGATGAACCACAACCCCCTATCGATGGCCCCTATTTCCTACCTCGACTCCTACCAATCGGATCTTGGACTTTCCAGACTCGCCGGGCCAACCTCCTGCACCGACCTGGATCCACGAGATATGGGTTCATGAACTCCGCCAAGATCAGATCTATTGTCTCAGAGCTCGGACCCAGCGCCCTATATGTCCACTCTTCATTCTGGAAGTCGTGGGCGCGATGATCTTCTACATGACACCATGACATTGCTAGGACATCTCGCGCGGCGTGAAAGTGCAGAGACTGCACACCGCATTCAGGCTACAGTGTACACGGCCACCGCAGCCATTTGAGATTCAATACTATTCAGGCGCAGACCCCCCCCCCCCCCCCCCCCGATTTGCAATCGGCACGCCTCGTATACCGCCAACATGGAGGGCCGACAGCGCAGAGTGGCACCTCATCGAGCCGACGACACACCAGATCGACCAGTTTTGGAGCACATCAATTGCTGGTATAGGGCAGAATTCTTTCTCCACTTCCGAGTCTGGACAATACCTACTACCAGACACGCCATCCATCAACAGGACAATGGCGCATTTACACCGCCTCCCTCGCATCCACGGGATCGACGGATACGAGACAGATTCTTGGCCTACATTCAGGACTGGTCCAACCACCTTTATGGACGTATCCGAATCGGTGACAACTTCTACCACGGGCTCTTTGAGCTCATCTTTGATCCAGCTACTGCTCGTCAGCTCAAAGCAACAAATCGACAGGTACACGAGGACCTCAGCCGCTACCTGATCCATGCACAAGTGGCTTGGACATTGACGCTGACCTCCACACCGCGCATGTCTCCATACCAAAGGGGTTCCACTACACCGTTCATAGAGCCGCCGCCCGGACGAACCGCAACCACGCCTCCATGGCCGCCATGGCCCCTATCTCCCTCCTCGACTTCTGCCGATGCGGAATGGCTTCACAAGATATGGGTTCATGAACTACGTCAGGACCAGATCTACTGCACACATCGCCCACTTCGTCCACACTATAACTCGGAAGTATAGGGAGAAGTTACTACGCGTGGTAGAGGTTAGGAATCAGCAGTCTACTCCACGTACTCGTCAGACGGGCTGTTTTCAATAATTGCCTTCACGCTCAGCATTGATTGGATCACGTGCATTCTTCATACCATTGCTGCTGCAACACCATGTTCTTGGCTCAATAGGCTCACCGCCATGTCTTCGCTTTAACCCATAGGCAGACCGCCAGTCATGTTTTGGAGTTCTTCGAGATGCGCACCGTTATACAGCTGGACCCTAGATATTGCAGCCACCCGTCATCCCATTCCGACCAGGATCCACAACAACGAACAGCAGACGAACTACTACGTCGAGACCAGCACCGTTGTGAATGCTACCAATGGAGTGTGTGGCAACACTTCCTGCGTGCGCTGCGAGACCACAAGTTCATCGCCCGCAACTTTGTTGGTTTTCATGGGGACTGCGCCCTTGACCATTTTTCACTATACGAGCCCCATCTGCATGCCTCCCATCTCGCCGCGCACACCTAGTGGACCTTGGATCTCGACGTGCTGGTGTCAAGCCGGAGGTATCAACTACTCTACACCAGGACATTCAGTTCATCCGCCACAGACCCACACGCCGGCGCCGACTTCCCTCACACACACTTCTCCATCCCGAACGAGAACTGATACAGCCGCTGGACCGAGTACGTCGTCATCGCAACTTTCAACCATTCCCCCGAACCCATATTACCAACAATAGAACTTCGCCGACGACGTGTGGACCTGGCTTCGTCCTGATCCGACTGCTGATTGTCATTCACGACCACACCGACGCTGGGACCGGGCATCACGGCCTCCGAGATTCAAAAGACGGACGCCTCAAGCCTATGATCCAGCCATTTATCGATCGATGGATTCAGACCACATCACCCTTCGCGTATCTATTGCTGGTGTTCGTCGCAGCCGTTTTGCTCGATGCAGTTTCACCCACTTACACCGAACACGAGTTTGCAATGGGACCTCCACGCACCCTGACCGAGAAGCTCCACCAGGTAAAGGACCCAGCAGCTCACAGCATTCGACATACCTTGTCCCCTTGGCCAGACCGCAGCCGTTCTCCATCGAGGCAGAACCCAACACGAGTGAGGGTACATACTCCACAGAAACAGCAGCATATGAGTGTCTCTCCGACTTCCGCCACCTCGACATCACACTTACGAGCTCACAGCGGACCAGTTGGTGCACCCGGACGGAAGCCACCACTCCCCCGCAATCGACCTACTAAATCCACAACCACGCCGACAACCACATCGCACCATCAGCCAGACTACAACTACAACGACTACTTTCCGAGGACACGGACATCCCTGACTCCCCATTACGACTTCCGCTACCACGTGCCAGACGTTCACTGCGCTCCCATTCTCATCCAACACCAATTTCTCCGCCTGAACAGGAAAATCACTACGACCCACCGACGACTCCACCTTCGCAAACTCCGCAAACTATGCATCAACGACATCTACGCTCCGATGACACCACTGAAATGGATCCCCGAGGACCAGTTCTACCTCCACGATCACGGCAGGAAAGCATTGTACAGCGCACTTATGATGCAAGAATTTCCGACTTCCCTGACCACGATGACCTGGCAACCAGTTCTTCGGAATTTTCTGTACATTAGGGTAGCATCGATTGGCATTACAGAGATCGGATTGCAGCAGTATGTGTCAAGGGCACTGACAAGAAAGACGCACATACTCTGGCGGATTCGTCGCCACATTCAGCCGAGACCCTCTCCGCATGGTCAGCTTGATAGACGCTACCAGTCCGCAGCCACTTGCGCCACACGACGCCCGACTCTTAGCAACCAGAAGCGAACATGGCCTCTTCAACGACCTCCACATTCAGGGAACCCGTCAATCTAACAGACACCCCGATGACAGGTTGGCTATCATATCTGGTGGAAGCGCGATTATGGTCAGTTTGTGAGGTCTCTTGGCAACTGCCCGCCACCAACATCTACCGCGGCGACAACCGCCTCTATATTGATATTCTGAGGCGACTCACACTGCGCGATCACAGGCTCACCCGCGTGGACTACGTGGACCCACAATCGGATCAGAACCACTACAGCATCCTGGAGGTCACACCACCACCCACGACCATTCGGTTACTGTGCGCCAACAGGAGAACACAACAGATAACCTTCCTCACGATACGAGCACACCGTAGGCACCGAGTCCTATGTTTACCACCTGGTTCTCCTATCACCGGGTTGTATGATCGGAACACTATCAGATTGGACCCATCCCTGACCTCCTCGAACATACGACGAACACTTCAACCCCCACACTTACAGCATTGCGAATGCCGCCTTCTACGTCCTGTTGCAGTACCGGTACTACATCACCGTGAATATTTCGTGAGATCTGACAGCTATACCTGATCACCCCGCCACGGCGGGGTGTGTGTGTGTGACAACCCTGTTTCCAAGGGGTTTCACTTGACCGTCCATCTGCAGTATAACATTATATCAGCAGGGGGCAGTGGACGTCCTGGAAGGCACTGCCCAACGAAGACC